AATCTGAAAGCCCTTGTTTTATGGCATGGGTCCTGGAGAGTCAAGAGAAAATTTTAAGCTGGATAATTTGATATAATCAGATTTGTGACTTGAGTCCATATTTTGGGGCCACTTTATCACCATCACTTGATTCTCCCTGATTTTGCCCTATTAAGGCTCTTTCTCATTTATATAATTGCTGTGCTCTCCTGATAGGTCTTCCAGCCTCAGGCAAATCCCCTCCAATTTATCCTCCAGTTTGGTATTTTTCTATATCACCTGTTTATTCCTGCCATTCTCCTGCTGCAGCCTGCCACTAGCTCCCCATCCCTGCCAGGAAAAGTCCTCTAATGCTCAGTATGGCATGCAAGACCCTCATACTGCAGCCTGTACTGTTCTCCAGCCTCATGTCCCATCCCTTCTTCCTACCCTTTCACCAGCCTGTCCAGTTTTCTACCCTTGCTAATTCAAGGTCTCCCAAGCTTTCCAGGTACATTCAGGGTCGATATCTCTTCTCACTCTCCTTCCCCAAAGTCCATCTAAAATACCCTGACTGCAAATTCCTCCTTAGCCTTCAAGAATCAACTCACAAAGCAACTTCCTTTGACCTTCTCTTGACCCCCACAGAGAGAACAAATATCTTTCCTTCCCTGGACTCCCTGGCATCTGGTACATTCTGATATTAGAGCATACATCACATTGCCTTGTAATTATTGCTTGCAAAGTTGTCTCCTAGACTAGAATGTAATCTCTACCAGAAGATAAGGCCATATCACATTCCTCTTATAAACTTAATTCATAGTACAGTGCCTAGCACATACTTAAAAGTTCAGTTAAATGCAGTTAAATGAAGGCACTGATATTCTTGTCCCTTTTGTGTTTAGAATAGTTATGTTTCTCACCAAGCAACTATTTATTGTCAAGGGGAAGTCACTCTTTTTTGGGCCAGATTTCCATCCCTAGGTCACTGCAACTATTCTTTTTAGCCAACTGGAGAGCAAAAGGCCTATAGCTCAGCCTTCTCTTGGGTTAGAGAGCAAGGGTTTTAATCTATATGCCATAGTGAGAAGGACTCAAGCACCTGCTGTAGACTCAGCTTGCAACCAAGTAGTGTAATAAAGGCCTTGAGTTTGCCATTTAAATATCCACTCCTCCCATTCTGTATATTTTGGGGCCTGAGAAAATGACCAAAAACACTTGTAGAGAGGTATCTTGATGCATGGCATATTGTCTCCATCTCATCTGTGAATTTTTCTAAGGATAGCCATAGAAATGTCCAAAATAGGGACTCTAGGAAACCACAGAAAACTGTGTCCACTGGTATCAGGGCTTCCCAGGGCTACCTCTTAGACAGAGGAACAATGAAACCTCCCCTCCCCAAAACAAAACAAAACTGGAATTCAGTGAAGTGTTAGAACCCTCGGGTATCTTTATATTTCTCAACTGTAGATTTAACATCTCTCCACTTTCAAGCTCCAAGAGAAGTTCAGCATGGCCTTAAGTTTTTCCTCCCTCACATCCACCCCCCCCCCACCTAAAGTTTAAAGCTTAGGGCAGCTGGAAGTGGTTTCCAACTACTAATTCCAGGGCATTCCCTGGGGCTTACAGCACGAGTAGAAGTATCTCAAGCCTTGGGAGTTAATTCCTGGAGGGCTTTCTGGAGCATCTGGAAGTCTGCAGCTAAATGGCAGACTGCACAGATCACTGATACTGAAGTACATACATAGGGCTGACATTTTGGGAATAACCTTACATTGGTTTAAGGCCAACCTGAAAATGTCTCCAACTATTGATGTCAAAGGACTTGGAGATTAAGTCTTGGGGTTGGGGGAACCTAAGTAAAAAAAAATCTTACCTCTATTAGTTTTATTACTCATAAAACTATTTTAAGATTCATAGAGAAAAAAATGGAGGGAGAAGGGTAGGGGTTTGGTTACATTGGGGTACAAGTTAGTTGTCCGGTACATTAAAGGAATGGGGACAAGAGTTAAAGGAAAGGTGGAGGGGATGACTGCAGGGGTATAGATGGGGAACCACCTGAGATTTTTCAGGTCAAAGAGGAATTATTGCCTCATTAAAGGGGAAATATTTGAGAGGCTTTAGGAGCCAATATGAACATTCCTCTGACTTGCCTAAGAGTGAGGCTGGGACAGGTCTGGGTCAGCTTTGGAATCTACTGGAAAGGAAATCCAGGCATGGGCAGTAAATACTCTTTCTTAATTGTATTCTTCTCCCTAGAGTCTTGGAGGATTTAATCTCAGACTCAAGGAGCTTCAATCCATATTTACATTATGCCTGCAGGAACCATCTCTCTATGGTATACATTTCTCTTGGAAGTGAGTCTAGAAATAAGTACTTCTATTATAAACAAAAACAGAAAGAAAGCAAACAGGCCACAAAACAAACAAACCAACAAACTTAGTGCTACAGAGGATGAAGCAAGATGGGGGAGAAAAATGCCTTTCCCAGGTTACATAACTCCTAGAAATGAAAAAGACCAGTAGGAAATGGCAGAATTAGAATTTTCTGAAGAGTGAACACCCATCTGCCACACTGATTTTGTGACTATAATTTTATAAAATATTTATTGAACACATATTATGCACTAGAGGTAAACACTGAGGATGAAGGCATGACTTAGGCAAAGCCCTGCATTCAAGGAGCTCACAGTCTATGGGAGAAAACTCATGAATTATAATAGCAGGACCACTGAGTTTGGGAGTGGGGCAGCCTGGGCCTGTATAGAGTAATGCTTATAAGCACAGAAGTAGGTCGCGTCTGACAAAGGATGCCTCTGGGATCAGCTGTGCTTCCGGACCTCCATTCAAAAGATACGATACACTAAGGTAGAAAAAGGGTGCAGCTGAGCTCTGCAATAGATTCAGGATACAGCTGCTAAATCTAGCTACAGTTCTTTTGGCACTGCTAACTGGGCTGGATTCTGCCTAGTGGCCAAAGGCTGCCAAATCCTGATTTAAGACAACTGCCTTTCCAAAGAAAAATAGTCATAATGAAAATAGCTTATGTCTTATACAAACTTTTAGCAATATAACAAATATATTACATTTAAATAGGACCCATAGTATTGTTACATATGGACTATCACAGTGACTTTAAAGTTACTTCTTGCTTCTTGTTTCCATGAGTTTTATAATTTTAACAGCACTGATTCGACTCTACTGAATGATGAATTTATTTTATAACTTGTCAAAAAGAACCTTTGACAAGATTTTTATTGTTTGAACTTGCCTTTATGATCTGAAGTCATAACTTTCCTGAGCCTTGGTTTCATCAACAACAAAATGGGGAGAGTAAACTCCAAAATGTCAGGTAGCAGCAAGGTTTAAATGATATAGACATATGTGGAAACAGAAGCCTATCTGAAAAATGGTCCCTTTTCTTAGCAAAAAGTCTTACCACCTTGGATCTTGAACCCAAGATGCTATATCCTGGAAGAGTGTGAAGACCAGATGACTTCTCCCGGATAAGAACAATAAAGAGGGAAGAGATAAAGGTCGTTTGGCTGAGGCAGAACACCCTACTGATATCCAACACTGATTTGGCTCATCAGGGTAGTATCCCTTAGCTCTTACCCTACTCCATCCTCTCATCCCCTCTCTGTAATTCATTTGGTTACACATGTTGACTTTACTCAGGGACCAATGAGAAAGAGGTGGGCATGTAACATTGTAAGATCCTGGTAAGAGGGCCACAACGGGCATACAAATCTGACTCCATCTTAAAGCTAATCTTCCCTCTTATTAGATCCTGGATCTAGTTGCCCTATTTCTCTCAAGATTGAGGAATAAACAACAAAAAAGGGATAAGTATAACAGAGTGAAATGCCTGGCCTATATGACTCCATCTTGTTCAACTCTAAGTTGTTCCCATGGCCTTCAGGCTTCTGCTTAGTCTTGAATATAGACATGCTAATCATTACAGGAATTCTTGCTTGTTTTACAAAAATAGCCCCTTAGCAGAAGGTGCCTCTCCTGAGGTGATAAGAGAAGTACCCTATGCAAAATCTGTCTTGGGCCTCTGCTAGTACTCAGATGTCTGTGGTTGTCAATCATCTCTTTCCCCTCCCTTTTCCCCTTTCCTTGACATAAAAGAAGGGTAAACACTGTACTTTGTTAAGATGGATTTGAGGCACCACAAGTTCCCCCATCTTCTCAATTGGAACCTTCTCCATCACTAAATCTCTCCTTACTCCCCTGCCCCCCAAAATGTTGGCCTTGCTGGGTGAAGGTATATTACTCCTTCAGTGGAAAACAATGGAGTGGGCCCTGAAATCATGAGTGTCTTCATTGTACAAAAGGGTTTTTGGACGTCAAGGACAGCATCTAGTTTAGTATACATGGAGTGTTTGGTGCCCAACTAAGGACCGGTAATAAAAAGTAATAAACAGTAAGATATTTTCTATATATTATGACACATATATAAACATGTCCATTTTTACAAAAAAAAAAGTAATGCACTCCATATACATTTGCACAGACAGAACTGTCCAGCTTAAAGAAATTAAGGGTTTAAAAAACCTAGAGGTTAAAAAATATATTCAGTTCAACAATTTAAAAATATTGAGTTATGCAGTACAAACTTTTCACTGGATAAAACAAAATGATAACTTGAATTTATTTAATTCATTCAGCATTTCAAAATTTAATTATATTGTTTAATACCATCTGAAATTACCTACTTGGACAACTCCCAGCCAACAGATTTGTGGGACCACTTTCTCTCTATATATTATTGTTTTTACCCATTATTTATAATTTCTAATTTACTTATGTTATTCAATTGATTAAATATATATTTTAAGATATATCTCAGTTTTTCCCACATATGCCACAATGGTGACTAAGGACACAAGTGAATATTTAACTTGTTTAAACATGCACTGTAATACCCATTGCCATTTTGATAAAAAGTAATGACCTTCAGTAATGAGAAAGATTTTTTTTATAAGCTAGCAAATCTAGAACAAGTAGCAATACAGCAAATAATCCAAGAAATCAACCTCAGTAATACAGATATCTATTTTATTAAAAAAGTTACAAACAGGTGGACTGCAGGGTCGTCTTACAAAATGACAAGAATGAAATCTATTGGAAAAATTTTACTTTTACAAATCTTTATCAGTCATTGTTCAATGTTTGTACTTGTTATTTGAGATTTTTACCTTTCATTGATAAAGTTACAGTACATTAGATCCATGATAATAGGCTACATGATTTTATTTGCAGAGCCCTACTGCAGTGATTTGAACAACTCCTAAACAGATGCCATAGTAAAGACAAGACATATATTGCATTTAATATTAATTTATTTTCCTAATAAGCAACTTGACATGCAATCTATTAAGGAAACTAAAATAACTTTTGGTCCCTTTTCTTAAAATGTGCTGGAGAAACCACCATTCAATCACTTTCCCCTGATTCCTGTGATCCTAAGTGAATTCAAGTTAAATTTGTTGCTGAGGTTAGTGATAGAGAGAGAGAGAGAGGGAGAGAGGGAGGGAGGGAGGAAGGGAGGAAGGGAGGAAGGGAGGAAGGGAGGAAGGGAGGAAGGGAGGAAGTTAGAAGGAGTGAGAGAGAGGAAATGAGAATAAAAACTATTCATAGGAAAGAAACACTGTATAAAAAATCCATCTGCAGAAAATTTAAATCATCATGAATTATTTGATTCCTTTAGATTTCACACAGCTAATAAAGATGAACCACAATCACTTAACCTACTTTGAACTGAGTGTTTGGTTTTAAGTTTGGTATTAAAGTGCAAACTTAAATTAGGTATTCATTTCAAGCAGTTAATAAATAAGAAACAATGTTTCAATTGCCTCTACCATTACAATCTCACCACAAAATTCAAAATTTAAGACAAGGGTTCACTTTGAGGGAATTTGATCAGGAATCAAAAGCAACACGATTTTAAAAAAGGAAATCAAAGTTTAATCAATTTCTACGCAATAATTAATGGTCATGCTGACCAATAAATCACATGAATGTAGATATCACTTTATTTGAACATCACACACAATATAAATTTAAAATTGCCACACCCTTCCATAAACCATCACTGCATATATTAGAGCTTTCCTTGACAAAGTTATTGAGCTATTATTATAGATCAAAAGTATAGTTTTGGCTTTTTTGTTTTGTTTTACTTTTAGAAGCATGTTCAAATGACTAAAGCTGGGCTCCTAAAATCGAGAACTTTGGTGCAGTAGGTGAGCTGCAGTTATTAACATCTGCGAGTTAAATGCACACAACTAAATCAAATAAAAACCCAACAAAAAATACTGTCAAACTTACAAAATTTTAAAATCATTGCTAGAAAAAGCATTTGTTATGGTGTTAAAACTGAACCAAAAGATTACTCTTTATAAATTTCCTTTCTGTTTCTATACTTGTGTTACTGATAAAATGTTCAAGTATTCAGACAAAATGTGCTGATTAGGTAAACAACATGGAAGGCAATGGCTGTTAGAAGCACATTTGGAAGAAAAAAAAAAAAAAAGCCCAGAGACTTGGCGCTATCCTCCCTCCTGATACACAGATTTTTGTCTCTACTACGAACATGCTTCTTTAAAATAACTAAAAAGCAATTGTGATAGTGCAAGAAAACTTTAACAATATTGCTTTAAACTATTATTTGGAAAGACAAATATTAAGAACTAGAAAGTGTATATGATTTTACTTGAATTCAATTTTACATGTGCAGAAGTCTATTAGATGTCAATTACAAGCCTGACAGGCAAAGCTGAGCTATCTCTGTTTAGGTATACAATTAATTTACCATGGATACAATATCCCTTTTCAAAGGCATTGCTAAGTAGGTCATAACTAAATTTAGAACTTTACAGAAAGGAAAATGTTACTGCTGCAATTTGATGCTGTAAATGAGATTAACACATGTGAAAACCTAATGGAATCAAATATTTAACTCTTCAGCTAAATGCTCTACAGTCAATTTCAAATATCCATCGTGACTTTCAGAACATGTTAACTAAAAAATACATCACAAACTGCACTTGAAGAAAAGGGATATTCCATCCATACAGGTAAAAATGTGATCTTTAGTTTCCTTTTACAACACTGCCACACGTAAACAAAGTCTCAAAGTCTTAACCAACCATTTAAAGGAGAAAGATTTTACAAATAGGATGAAGCACTGGTGCGAGGTAATATACAGAAGTAACCATTTGTTTAAGGCTCAATTTTTTTCTCCATTATAACTTTCTTTTAAAAGGCATTGAGTAGGTAATACTGAGTTTGAGTATTTAATAAATACAAGTCAAGAAACTGATTAAAGAAATCAATTAAAATATTAAAAATTAATTCTTGCATATTAGCCATCAATAAGAACTTAGAAAGCTACAAAAGGACTGATTGATAAAGAAGAGATTTTAAACATATGGTAAACGTGCTAAGCATTCCTATTTAAGGTCAATGGATCTTGAAGGCCAAAGACCTTATGCACTTAATTAGATGTATGGCAACATGCTGTAATAGAGACAGGTTTACCAAGGCTCAGTTCTGCAACCCAGGTTGTAAAGTTCTCCAAAGCAGCATCTGTGCAAATTTCCTCTGAGTTTTATCTGCAATTAAGATAAAAATGTCATAAAAATATAGATTACCATTAAAAATGAGAACACTGACAACAGATCTATATACACATGGAAGTGGTACCAGAATAACTATCTTAAGGTGAAATTTAACTGTGCTCACCATCAGTTTAAGTAAAAAAGTAATTTTCCAAGGTCCATAAAAGTCATTAAAAAACAGTAACACTCTAATAGTGCATTGGATATAATATACTGCGTGTATGTAAGTACTCTGGTTTATTTTTTAAATAGTATTATACTTTATGCTTGTATTATAGTTCATACAATATCAAAAATGCTCTTACTCATTTAAAAGATCTTACAGTACAAAAGTGGCAAATGTTATGAATCTTATATATTTTAATGAAAATGGTATTAGAATTAAATGCATATTAATTATAAGCTAACTTGACAGTATGCAATACTTTCCCAAAATTTAGGGTTTGGGTTTTTTGGTGTTTTTTTTTTTTTTGAGAATTTAAAATATAAAAATGTAATACTACCAGGGTCTAGCTATTGAGCACCTACTAGGTGCCCTGCCTTGAGATAGATGCTAGGGGACAGCAGTAATTCATACTTCTCACTCTGGTCTCCCCTTTTTGAGGTAAAATATGCATTATTCTCCCAACCACAGGAACCTCTGTGATTGGGATGTCTCAGTCTCTGCTCTTACAGTTGTTAGACTTCTGTCCTTCTAATTAATATCAGAGTGGGTGGGGGGGGGGATCTATCATTCAGACACACTAAACAGCTTCTAGGCGAGTGGAATTACATTTGTATTTAATGTAAAAAAATAAAAATTGTTATATAATGCCAGAAACAAAGAGTAGAATAGCAACTATGAAAGGCTGCCAAGAAACCAACTTAAGATCATCTCAGGGCTCTACCAATGTTTATACATGCATAATTTTAATTTCATTTGACAGCTACACTTCTATTTGTATTCAAAGAGCCTGAGAGAACTCTTTATTAGAAGCTATATCATAAAAATAATTACTTCTTAAAAACATCTCTGTTCTCATTATTATTGCAATTCTGTCACCTAAACACATTAGGAAAAATAGACAAAAGTGTCTCTCTTTAGAAATTATTATAAAAACATTTTTCTTCCAATGAAAATTAAAACGTTTTTGCACTAAAGGAAATTGTTAATTAGGACACCGGTTATTTAAGTTTGGGCAAGTCCAGTTTCCTCATTATTAAAATAAGGGTAAAAATTCTTTCACCAGATGTTTGGTAAATATCATAAGGTAATATGTGAAAGCACCTTATATGTGAAATATAAGGTATTGTTTTATTTCTCAACTATGTTATAAATTTTTACAAGACTAGGATTATATCTTTGATATCCAGGCTGAAGACCATTTTATTTTTTTACCCTCATTTGAATTTTCGTACCTATTTGACCACAACAATATTTTATTATATATGCAATTATCTATAAAGACTTTTCAGTAATCCACAGTAGACTTTCCTCAATTAATTTGAATCAGTAAGTTTGCTATAAATGTTAATCCACATTTTTCAAATTAAACAATTTTAAAGATGTGGAATTTTCAAATATGATTATGCCTCCGAAACAGTGAAAACTTACATTATGTGATGATTTAATAGTTTAGGCATTCTCTAAAATCAGATTGAGGAAGTAGTGATTATTTATTTCTAGCCAAAAGAAACACTAAAAATACAAACCAGTTTATTAACCATCATCTACATTAAATAAAAGGTAAAATATGCATTATTTCCCACCCTCTAAAAATCTGGTTAATGTTTGCTCCATCAATATTCCACAGGATGGCAATACTGCAGTGAAATAAAGAGACAGACAAATTCAGGGTCATACTCAACAATCTTAATAGGAGGTATGCCATTAAATAAACAAAGTATTAATACCAGCTACTTTCAAGAGAGTAATAAATTTTAATTCTCTGGAGTAATAAATCCTGAAGCAAAAGCTTACATTAAGCAAAAAGGACAGTCTCTCTCAGATTAGAATTTCACAAGATGTGAAATATGTTATTGCTTCTCACTATGACAGCAAAATTCTCACTGTACTAACAACTCTCATTCATTTAAAAAACATTCTAGAAGCTTTATAGGCAGCTGGTCAAACTCATACTTATTAATTCCCAGGATATCGCAGACACATCGCAAATGTATAACTTGCTTTTTGTACGATAGAATACAAGTGATCCTTGTCTTCACTCTCCAGTTTCCAGCAGGACACCCAACAAATCTTAACTCTGGAAGCCTCTGCTCAAACTCTTGCGTAACTGTTTTCACTTTTTTCTAATTAGATTTTGTTATGGAAGAGCACAAAGAAAAATCCCAAAGAACAGTCCAAACTTCTTGTTCAGGAAATTATGAGATAGGGTCCCCCAAGTGGGGTAAATTGGTACATGAGAGTACCAAACACAGAACTGAAAGAACAAAGGTCATTATTTTGTCAGCATGAAGAAAAAGGGAGATTCTTGATTCAAGACTAGCACATCATTTCACGTGGCAGCAGAATGCCCGGGATGTTAACAAGGGCTCCTGAAAGGCTTAACAGTTTATGAATGACTTTTTAGCTTAGCTGCATTTACCATTTCTAAATATGATGGTATTTGCTAGCATTCTTTTTAGTAAATATAAATGTGCGATCATAATTGACTGTAATTTTCCCCCAGTTTTAGACATATGATATTCTGGAGATTTGACCCAAAAAAAATTAAAGATTAAATTTCCCTTCACATTTTTCACTTGGCATTTTCATATCCAAGATAAATATTAGTTATGTTGGCAAAATGCTAGGCTGATAGTCCACTGACAGAAGTTATGTTTTTGTTAAATATCTTGTTTGCTTTTCTATCTTAATTTGCATAATAATCATAAAGCTTTTTGGGGGGTGGAGTGGGAGGAATAGGTAATAAAAAGTGCTCACCTGTCACCCATTGAACACAGAGAGCAAAAGCTGGACCTATGGAACAGAATCCTTGAATGAAAGTGGAACAATGTTTTAAGAACATGCACCCCAAAAGTTTATCGTGAACCTAGGGTAGGAGGGAAGGGACGAGCAATTCTTCTTATACCATGCCTAAAATCTCTTTAAGTGTAAATTAATATGATGAGGTCAATTCTGAGATCTCAAATAGTACGACCATGTCCACTGATAATAAGCAGCAGCGCGAGCCCAATGATCTGATCCTAGCCCCTAACTTTGAATTAGACCAGATAGGGTACTGCTCCCCTCAACTCTAAATTGTTTTTACTGTACCCAATATTCCTAAGACTGTGGCTAATCAAATGAATTTGGGAGTATGTTTTTGGTAGGATATGTTTTTCTTAATGATATTATCTTCTGGATTTTAGAATTCTACTGAGAAATAATCCCACGAGGGGAATCTTTCCTGTAGTATGGCTAGAATACTTCCTCGGTGGCAATTCTCCAACTCCATGATGCAATTTTTGTTAATTCTACTGATGGTTCATTGTAAGCCACAGAGGTAATGGAGTAAAACTGAATGGCTCACATGCATTTCATTCTGCAATAAAAGCCTAATCTTGAGGTTAATGGAAGCAATTAAAGAGGGGACAGATATGTTTTTTAAAAAGTCATTCTAATCACCAGACACCTTCGGACCCAGCGCAGGTCTAACTGGGCACCTATCCACTCTGAACAGTCACAAACTATGAACCTTGAAGGGGTTAGTAAAGGTCTCAGAGAATTAGTGGGACAGAAAGAACAAGGCAACTCTGTTCTCCCCTTCTACCCCAGGGCCACTGCAGGTCTTTATGGTGCACATTACCCCCAAAGCATGCTTCCTCCTCCATTCAGAGTCGCCATGCCACAGGCTCCATTTGAACTGGATGACAAATGAGCATTTAAAATGAGCCACTTTCCCCACTCAAAGTGATATGCAAATTAGGGCTGGGGGGAAAAAAAGTATCTATCTACACTGTAACTTCTGCAACAGAATTCTACCCCAGTGTTTTACTAGTATGATTAATATTTAACTTGAATATGAAAATGCCAGCATTTTAAAGTACACAATGTGATTTAATTTTCATGTTTGCTTCTCACAATTGCTAACTCCCCAGCACATCATATCTAATTAAAAGATGAAAAAAAAAAAATAGAAACAATGGATTCCACACATTTATTTATTTAAAAAAAATTAAAATACTAATCAATTCCATTGTGTTCAGAAATAGTAAGGCCAGCTAGATGAAAATGACATTAATAAATGCTTCAGCCTTTCAGGAGCCTTTGTTAACATCCTGGGCATTCTACTGCCACGTGAAATGATGTGCTAGTCTTGAATTAAGAATCTCCCTTTTTCTTCGGCATGACATATATAATGAACTGAGGCTGACATAAATAACGATCTTTGTTCTTTCAGCTTGATTCCTGGCGTTTGGCACTCTTATGAACCATTTACTCTCATTGGGAGAACCCTTTCCATAATACATGGAGAAAAATAAGATCAAATCTTGCAGATCTTCAAATCATAGTGAAGAACACATTTTTTATTCCTGTTTTTCTAAAAATAACTTTTGTCAATACTGGACTGGGATACAGAAATCCTTGAAAAGTAATCTTAAAATAAATTCTATTTGGAAAAAGGGTATTTACCAAACTGTTAGGTTTAAGCGATAACTTTACTGCACTTCCCACCTTCCTTTCAGGAAATCAACAGAATATTTTAGGATACTATTTTACTCCTTTTTGGCATTCCGTTTGGAATCAACTCTCCCCCTCCCCCATCCACTCATATCCTACCTATATTTTTAAGGCCTGACTCTAATGCTACTTGCTCCCCAATTCCTCTAAATCTGTGGTTCTTAGCCAGGGGGAACTTTGCCCCCTAGGAGACATCTGGCAATTTCTGGAGATATTCTTACTTGTCACAACTTGGGGGTGGAGGGAATAGTACTGGCATCTAGTACAGGGATGCTGCTAAACATCCCACACCCACTCCCAACAAAAAGCCCAGAATGTTGAGAAACCTGCTCTAACTGGATGTGATCTCTCCTTTCTCTGAACCCCCACAGCACTGTGATTTAATTATTTTATATTATTATGAGATTAACAAAACCTCCATCATTCTCAACAACAGTATATATACCAAAATAGCCATCTATCAATTTAACACAGAGGAGATAGTTAAAGCTCCTCTGATGTAGTTAGCAAAAGTGAAACACGGCTGCGTCACTGGCCTGGGTTTCCATTATACTGTTGGGGCACAGTAAAAGAAGTCCAGTGCACTTGATGGCGGGTCCTCAGGTCAGTAAGGAAATCAGCCATGAAAGCAGTACTTAAAGAATCTGGCCTTGAATTCAAACTTACACTAAGATTACTGCCAGTGGGAGGTGGAAAAGTGAGGAAACAATCCTGGGAGCCTTGCAGATAAACAGGTGTTGGGCAAGAGACTGGTGACCCAAATTGAAAGGTGGTAAGAAATATGAGGAATTATCAGAAGCAATTCTTAGAGTACTAATCAGTTTTTCCTTTTAACCATCACAGTCCTTCTAACTTACTTGAGCCTTATTATTCCTAAATTGGACAAGGTACTCTTCTAAATATTAAGGACAAGCATTTCTCAAATTGCCTTTACTTGTCAAAGTTTGATCTTCAATCTAGACCTGGGACTGACAGATTTCAGAGCTTCATGACTCAAGCTACAGGATTCAGAATCCACCACCGATTTTTTTTTTAGATAAACAGTGAGCAAGCAGGCATAACCACAAAATTTCTGGACCTCAGATTACAAATTTCTATACACATCAGTTCAATCTTATTTGACGGCATAAAACACCCCCCTGCCTATAATGTGCTTTGTTCTAAAAGATCCTTAGTGATGGATTCCATTTAATAGTTTCGGAAATTCAGATGGTTAGATATTTTATTTCATGACTCATACTTTCAATAGTGTGTGTGTTCTGCTTAAAATATGAAAACCAAACAAAAAAACTACACAGGCAATTTGACCCATTATTCTAAAAAATGAGCAATTATTGGTAATAATAGTTTCTGATTTTCAGTACATTAGTCAACAAAAATTTAAACAGAGTTGGCTTAAAATATAAAAAATATATATATATATTACATCATTCCTGTAGGTAACCAAATGGATTAAAAGTAATTTAGTCAAAAAAAGTTACAAAATAAACCCAGAAATAACCCAGAATAAGACAGACTTAAAATTAGCTTTAGAAATTGCCCATTTGCCGATTTGACTGAGACAACTGGCCCTCTACATGTATGAGACCAATTTTATTCTGTTTACTTTCTATAGCTATCTATGATACTGATGGAAAGAAAACTGGGAACATTTGTGGGAGCTGGTTGATTTTTTTAATAAAATTGATAAAACTAAAACGTGTACACTTTTGTCATGTGCCCAGTTAAAAGTGTCAGAAAGAGAAATAGAGCATAATGGTGAAGACATAATCACTATAAAGAACATGTTCAAACGTGAAGCTTGCCTCCAGTTTACAAAGAGAGATTATGGAAACAAGAACGTGAGACTCAATCACCTACATACGCCTGTTCCTACCTCAAAAGACTACACTGTAAGCGCGACACTATCAGAAAAACATATACTGGACTACACAGTCTGAACAGTGACTTTATAAGGTAACAGATGTAGCTAGGTATAAGAAAATAAATGAGTTTCCATCATATTCTGGTATGCTGGAAAGCTGACGTGTGAAAACATTTTGAATAAAGCACTGTTGTCATCCTTCCTTTCCAAAGATGACACTACCTGACAGGAAATCTTGTCTGAAAAGATGAGTTAGGGACCATTAGTCTTTTGTCCAGGGAGTATATATGAAGCCCGACCTTTGATTAGGCATCAGCACTGCGATGTGAAATGCCTGTTGCCATTTGCAGCATTGCTTCCTAGACTTGAGGTCAGTCTTGGCTCAAAATAATCAATTCCATTCTTGATGTTGTCGGGCTAGTCTGGCATTTGCTGTGGTTTCTCAGTCATCCAGACTATTGGTTGTTTTATCTCATTATCTAAATGTTACTAAGTGAGATTATCTTCCCAATTTTTAAATCTAAAAATCATGATATGAATAAATAATCTAATTTTAAATGCTCAATAAGTTTTATATATCAACTTTTTCAAAAACTCATTCATTTGAAAAACTCTTATTAAGTTATTATTTAACTCAATGAAAAGTTTCAAGGTTTTGTTATTATCTTTATTAACTTTGTTATTTATTAAAATGAAGAAAAATGTTTCCTGGCCTTGGGACTGTTCCTTCTAACACATCACAGATGATTTTGCCAGATTCTCATTTGGACAATATATTCATAATGAAGTCAAGGTACATTGTGGCTCTATAATTTGTTATTATTAGAGGTGACTTAAGTCCTTCAAGTGCCAGGTACAGAAGATGAATTTGATTAAATAATCATTCTGTTAAATCAAGCATTTGGGTGATTAGTAAATTGATGATTTCAATTATAGCCGCTCTTTAGCCAAGGATAGAAAAGTGTAGAAAACAAAACTAACCATATTCTGAAATTATTACTGGATGGTCTCCTGTGCGTTCTGGATGCTAAATCACCAAAACACTGAAAAGGCGTATTATCCTTTGACTCACCCCACCCCATAGGAATGTTCTCAATCAAGCAGAAGGAAAAGAACAATAACTCACTTTAAAAAACTAAACCTTGTGATGGGAATATAAGCAATTTCTTACCTTTGTTTCCCTTATCTGTATTTTTTGGGCTTTCAGCATTGAATGTTGACTATTTTGTGCAAAGGGAAATGTTATTTTAAAAATAAAGAAATTTAAGGTAACATAGTGTATATTAATATTAACCAGCTTTGTTATATATGATCAAAACCAAAATACTCTCTGGTTCATAAGATTCCATCAACGACTAACCTGCTCGGTATGGCCATGATTGAGGTTATCTTTTTTACTGGACAACACAAGTTGTACAACACTGATCTTGTTTCTCGGGCAGGGATGAATAGTTCATTTGCCTGACGATCTCAGCAAAAAGTTCATCCACCATTGATTTACTTTTTGCCGATGTCTCCATGAAAGGACAGCCCCATTCTTGAGCCAGAGCTCTGCCTTCTGAAGACATAACCTCTCTTTCTGGTTCCAGATCCACTTTATTTCCTACAAGGATTAGTGGGACTTTCTCATATCTCTTCACTCTGACAATCTGGTCTCTCATTGGCTTGATATCCTATTCAAACAATCACAAAGAGAAAGGAAAAATTATGCTGTTTGCATAACCACAACAGAAGTATTACAATCTCATAAGAACTCATCCCTCAGTGAGTAAAGAGAGCTAAATCCAAAATAAAACCACACACTCGAATATAAGAGAGAAAATGTCATTTTCTCCAGTAAAGTAAGAACTAGATAATTTCCATAGACCCTGCCTGCTGGGTTTCTGTCAAGAATATAAAATGTTGGTTGTACACTAACCTTAAGATTCATTTGATCACTTCTTTGCCATAGTCTATACTGATTTGAAAAGTTCCCAAATATGACAAATCCATTCACACATATGGGTGTTTGGCCATCTTCTTAAACCTGCCAGCTTGTCATCACTTCTCCTAACACCTGATATCCTAGCACAGGATTACAGCATCTATACATTCCTAGCCATTTAACAAGAACACTTGAGAGAAAGTGTTTAAGGTGGAAACAAAAACACTGTGTCATACCTAGAAGACCAAAGTTAAAAATAGAATCCTACACTTACATGTTTCATTTTAAATTTAATGGTATGTTTTTATCTCAGTAAAATCAAATACCTTAAGTACAATTAAATATAACAGAAACTATTGTAACAATGAACAACTCAGGCAGGTGGGAGTCTGGGTGAGAAAAAGTAATACTTGTCTTTGCCTACATTTGTGTTTACAAGTTGAATTTTCTCCCAAGTATATTGTTTTTTTTCAAAGTAATTACAACCAATTGCAAAGATAAGAGCCTTAGCC